AGTGTGTATTGATTAGTACTGAGAGTTCAGAGACTGGTGAGAGAGCTGTCGGCCTACTTGCCAGGGCCTTCTTGTAGGCTGTAGGACTCGAGGGACAAGGAGGATTTAACCAAGTGGAGAAGAAAAGGGTGTGGGAGAGGAAAGTGGGTATTTCAGGCAGGGAAAAGACATGGCCAAAAGCACAGAGGTGAATTAGGCTTGTGGAGACTGGAGCAAACTATGTTGAGAATTATCAGAAAATGGAGACATGCTGGTTAACAGCCAAATATGTACTGCTGTTGGAGAAATTTGAAGCACTGGAGCTAAGGCCAGCCACACATGCCTCCTGTGCCCTCAGCTACCCTCCCTCTGAGCATGAGGTCAGGAAGCTCAGGCAGATCACCTCTCCCTGACTTTTAGGATGATGACCGGGGTGAGGAATGGGAACGGCATGAAGCACTGCATGAGGACGTGACCGGGCAGGAGCGGACCACTGAGCAGCTCTTTGAGGAGGAGATTGAGCTAAAGTGGGAGAAGGGTGGCTCTGGCCTGGTGTTCTATACCGATGCCCAGTTCTGGCAGGAGGAAGGAGGAGGTAATGCTGGTACCCGGGCAAAGGCAGTGGTGACCCCTGCTGCCTTCTCTTGGGGTTCTCTGTTCCATACAGTAGATTCCCTAGTGGTGAGCCCAAACAAAAGGCTAGGGAACAGGCTGACCTTTATTGTATATGAGAGACCAATTATCCTTTTGAAGAGGGGGAATCAGTGAGATGGAGAGAAAATGCACCCCCCTCCAATTCTGAATAACCCTCCCAGAGGAAGGATTTTAAAATACAAACAAGCTGGGTGCGGTGGCTTATGCTTATAGTATCAACTACTCAAGAGACTGAGGCAGGAAGATCACTTGAGCCCAAGAGTTCAAGGCCACAGTGAGCTATGATCACACCACTTTACTCCAGCCTGGGTGACAGAGTGAGACCTTCTCTAAAACAAACAAATGCCCCAAGTTTGTGTCTAAGTCTAGGTTTAACTCTGAATAGAACTGAGAGTCCTTAATGCACTCTGTTGGATGCTTTTATATCCCTGCAGATTTTGATGAACAGACAGCTGATGACTGGGATGTGGACATGAGTGTGTACTATGACAGAGGTACTGGGCAAGGAGTGGCAACACTGGGAGGTGACATGGGTGTCCTGGCCTTGCAGTGACACTTTACCAGAGCTAGCAAAAGCTGAAACAAGGGACCATTCCCACTGAGAGGGTTCCTCTTAAAACATCTTTGGTAGGCCGGGCGTGGTGGCTCAAGCCTGTAATCCCAGCACTTTGGGAGACCGAGGCGGGTGGATCACGAGGTCAACAGATCGAGACCATCCTGGTCAATATGGTGAAACCCCATCTCTACTAAAAATACAAAAATTAGCTGGGCATGGTGGCACATGCCTGTAATCCGAGCTACTCAGGAGGCTGAGGCAGGAGAATTGCCTGAACCCAGGAGGCGGAGGTTGTGGTGAGCCGAGATCGCGCCATTGCACTCCAGCCTGGATAACAAGAGCAAAACTCCGTCTCAAAAAAAAAAAAAAAAAAATCTTTGGTTATGTACATTAAGTGCTAGTTTTGGACAGAGCCTTCTTCCTTTCATGGAGGAGGAGGAGGAGGAGGAGGGACAAATAGCCCTCAGGAGCTCTGGGTCTGATGGTTAGGTCCCAGTAGGGTGGGATGGTCAGGAGCTCAGGCTCTTGTAAGGGTTTAGATTTTAGAAGAGAAAATGACCTGGGTGGGGGAAATAGCCAAGTCGGGGAGGGAAGAAGACCTGGGTTCTAATTCTCTCTGTCATTCTTTGGCTCTGTTACTTATCTGTACCACAATCTTCTCATCTGTATAATTGGGGAGAGCCATGGTTCCTACTTTTGGGGAGCTCCCAGTTAAATGAGAGACATAACACACCATTAAAATGAATAAGTCAATCTTATCAGGGGGTCCTAGAAACCTGATTCTTCCCCCTCCTTCTGAGAGGGATGCTTCCATAAACATCTCTGGTTCCTCAGATGGTGGAGACAAGGATGCCCGAGACTCTGTCCAAATGCGTCTGGAACAGAGACTCCGAGATGGGCAGGAAGATGGCTCTGTGATCCAGCGCCAGATGGGCACCTTTGAGCGCCACACCAAGGTGAGTGAGCACTGTGCCCACCCTATGGACCCCACTATTTTCCTTCTCTACTTTCATTCCTTCTCCCATCTGTGTTCCCCCTGCTCCCAGCAGGAGCCCCATTTCTTGAGTCTTGTCCCTTCACTCGGCAGGGCATTGGGCGGAAGGTGATGGAGCGGCAGGGCTGGGCTGAAGGCCAGGGCCTGGGCAGCAGGTGCTCAGGGGTACCTGAGGCCCTGGATGGTGATGGCCAGCACCCCAGATGCAAGCGTGGATTGGGGTAAGTGTGGCCAAGGGGTTTCCCTGGGGACCCAAGCCTTTCAGCTATGCCCTGGTTTCCCTCTTCCCACTGGTTTTGGAATGGGTGCTGGGTACTATTATTTCAAATAAATAAATAAATAAATAAAATTTAAAAAGTAGATCTAACACTTTTTCTTTTTTCTTTTTGAGACGGAGTTTCGCTCTTGTTACCCAGGCTGGAGTGCAATGGCGCGATCTCGGCTCACCGCAACCTCCGCCTCCTGGGTTCAGGCAATTCTCCTGCCTCAGCCTCCTGAGTAGCTGGGATTACAGGCACGCACCACCATGCCCAGCTGATTTTTTGTATTTTTAGTAGAGACGGGGTTTCACCTTGTTGACCAGGATGGTATCGATCTCTCGACCTCGTGATCCACCCGCCTCGGCCTCCCAAAGTGCTGGGATTACAGGCTTGAGCCACCGCGCCTGGCCCACTTTTTCTTTTTTGAGACAGAGCCTCGCTCTGTTGCGCAGACTGGAGTGCAGTTGTGCAATCTCGGCTCACTGCAACCTCCGCCTCTGGGGTTCAAGCAATTCTCCTGCCTCAGCCTCCTGATTAGCTGGGATTATAGGTGCAGCCACCATGCCTGGCTAATTTTTTTCTTTTTAGTAGAGACAAGGTTTCACCATGTTGGTCAGGCCAGTTTCGAACTCCCAACCTCAGGTGATCTACCCAACTCTGCCTCCCAAAGTGCTGAGATTACAGTCGTGAGCCACCACACAAGCTTCTGTTCTTGCATAACAGTTATGCTATCCTTGAAGCTAATCCCCTTCTGTTACTCTTTAGACAAGAATTCTGCTCCTCTCTCAAGATTTACTTATGGTCATGTGCTCAGAAATGCCCAAATGGGTACAACCATCACCAAGGGTGGGAGATGGGAGGGCAGAGGAGAAATAAGATATGAAGCATCAAAACAAAAAACAAAAAACCTTAGACCTGGCTGGGGGCAGTGGCTCATGCTTGTAATCCCAGCACTTTGGGAGGCCAAGGCAGGCAGATCGGCAGAGGTCGGGAGTTCAAGACCAGCCTGACCAACGTGGAGAAACCCTGCTAAAACAAATTTAAAAAAAAAAGAGGCCGGGTGCGGTGGCTCAAGCCTGTAATCCCAGCACTTTGGGAGGCCGAGGCGGGTGGATCACGAGGTCAAGAGATCGAGACCATCCTGGTCAACATGGTGAAACCCCGTCTCTACTAAAAATACAAAAAATTAGCTGGGCGTGGTGGCGCGTGCCTGTAATCCCAGCTACTCAGGAGGCTGAGGCAGGAGAATTGCCTGAATGCAGGAGGTGGAGGTTGCGGTGAGCCGAGATCGCGCCATTGCACTCCAGCCTGGGTAACAAGAGCGAAACTCCGTCTCAAAAAAAAAAAAAAAAAAGAAAAAGACTTTAAGGCTTAACAAGATCATTCATACCTTTTGTTGGAGGAGTTTGGACGTGATGGTTGCTAGGAAGTCTGTAGTGACAGAAAATTTTATCTGAGGCCCCTTCTTGCTGGCACTGACTGTCAATGAATAGATAAGAGAGCTGGAGAACAAAGAACCAGATGTAAAACCTCTGTCTTTGGACAAACCAGCTATGTAGTAGCTATTTTCCCGTCCTTTCCCACCCCCTTTACTGGAGTTTGAGAGCAGCCTTCTCATTGAGAGCCTGTTTTTATCCAGGTACCACGGAGAGAAGCTACAGCCATTTGGGCAACTGAAGAGGCCCCGTGGAAATGGCTTGGGACTCATCTCCACCATCTATGATGAGCCTCTGCCCCAGGACCAGACAGAGTCACTGCTCCGCCGCCAGCCACCCACTAGCATGAAGTTTCGGAGAGACACGGCCTTTGTGAGGGGTTCCAGTGCTTGAGACAGTTGTGCTTGAGACAGCCGCTCATTGCCTGATTGACGGCGGTGGGGGTTTGCTGGTCAGAATCACTCACAGCTACGGGATGAGAACCCTCCGCCTCCGCCGTATCTACCACTGAAGCAGAAAGGAGTCTGGGAACAGCAGTCTTGGTGGCTGGTTCAGGGTGCTTTGCTCTGAGCCTGCCTGCCAGTTCTCTACCTCAGGGGCATTTTTACAAAAAGCTCCCTCCCCTCCCATCGGATAGGGGTAATGACCACTTGTCTTTGGTCTCTACCCTAGTCTCTGGGCTTGCCCTTTGCCTCCTGCAAACCTTGAAAACTGTTTTGAGTGAGGCTATCAGACAGCCTTCCTTGGGGACTCTGACAGTGTCACCACGAAGGCCAGAAAGAAGCGGAAAGGGACCTGCGCCAGGAGAGGATTTGTGGTGCTTTGAAGAGCCAGCCTTGGGCGGGCCTCTACCCTCACCGGGTGGAGCTGCAGCGGAGAGTCCGCGGGGGGTGGCCCGGGTGTGCGAGGTCATGGAAGAATAAAGACGTTTACTACTGGGTCTCCCTTTCTCTTCTAATTCGAGTCTCAAGGAGGGTCGGGGAAATGCCGAGAGGGATTTTCCCTCGAAGACCCAACACAACCCACTCGCCACCACAGAAATGCGGTTGCGCCGCCACGCCCCTCGGCGTCGAGCTACGTCTCCAACGTGAGGGCGGGACTTCCTCTCCTTGGCCTGCTGTTTCCGACGCCATCCGGAAGTCGAGTTGGTCTAGTTAGTACCAGCCCGTTAGTTCCCCTTGCGCGACGCGCCGTGTGAGGCCAGTGAAGTTGGCCGCGAGGGAGGCGTACGTCCTGGGTCCCTCGCCCTCAGTCTGGTCTCCTGAGCGGCTGCCCGCCCCGTTTTCGATCAGAGCTGATCTGCTCCGGACCGCGCGCGGGCCGCCCATGGCAAGGGCCGCTCCGACCACGGCCTTTGGGCAAGCGGTGATCGGCCCTCCGGGCTCGGGGAAGACCACGTACTGCCTGGGCATGAGTGAGTTCCTGCGCGCGCTGGGCCGGCGCGTGGCCGTGGTGAACCTGGACCCGGCCAACGAAGGGCTGCCGTACGAGTGTGCCGTGGACGTGGGCGAGCTGGTGGGGCTGGGCGACGTGATGGACGCGCTGCGGCTGGGGCCCAACGGCGGCCTGCTCTACTGCATGGAGTACCTGGAAGCCAACCTAGATTGGCTGCGTGCCAAGCTCGACCCCCTCCGCGGCCACTACTTCCTCTTCGACTGCCCAGGCCAGGTGGAGCTATGCACGCATCACGGCGCCCTGCGCAGCATCTTCTCCCAAATGGCTCAGTGGGATCTCAGGGTGCGTCTCAGGCCGGGGAGGGCCATTTTGCAGATGGAGGAACTGGGACAGGGAGGAAAGATGCCACGCCCCCATGTCACACAGGGAGGGAGGGGCTGAGTTGCTTTGGAGTAAAACAGGCTTGAGTTCAAAATCTGGCTCTACTACTGACTCGCTGTGTGGTCTGGGTAAGTCTGTTCATCGCTCTGAACCTCAGTTTCCTCACGTGTAAAATGGATATGTTAGCAGCCAACGTGGCGATTTTTGAAGTATGGAAGGGGTTAGTGTAGATAGTGACATGGAGATAGTTTTAAGTTTGTGAGCAAAAGTAAATGAAAGAGTGGAATCAGATACCGTGGGATTTAAACATCTTGCCCACTGGGAGGCTCAGTGCAAGACATCTTGTATGGAAAAAAAAAAATGCTTCCTATTTTCTGGGAGAAGGAAACCAGGGTGGTTATTAGAATGAAACAGAGGCAGGAGGAGACTAATAGGAAAAGCTTAGACTTTTCCTCAAGCTCTCAGTTTGATGAGGGACTGCTGATCCCTGCTTCTCCAGGCCACTCTCACCCTGTCTCTTCCCTCCCAGCTGACTGCTGTCCACCTCGTGGATTCTCACTACTGCACAGACCCTGCCAAGTTCATTTCAGTACTGTGTACCTCCCTAGCCACCATGCTGCACGTGGAGCTGCCCCATGTCAACCTCCTTTCCAAGATGGACCTCATTGAGCATTATGGGAAGCTGGGTAAGAGCTCCTGTTCCAGGCAAAGAGCAGGGCAGCAGCTGGGCTAGAATGAAGCAGACATCTCAGCTGAAGGTAGCTGCCTCTGGTGCCTTGTATGATCTGGTGATTGTAACCACAGGCAGGTTCAGACTCTTGCCCATTTATTTTGTGCCACTCTGTGCTAGATGCTGTTGTAGATTTTGGAGAAGAGAGAGCTACAGATGGTGTTAGGTGTTACAAAGGAACTAAAGTGATATGACAGTGACTGTTTGGGAGTGAGGTGAGTGAGCTTTGAAATAAAACAGGCATGAGTTTAAATTCTGGCTCTGCCACTGAATTACCATGTGATCTGAGTAAATCAGTTCATCTGTTTGGACCTCAGTTTCTCACTACTGCTCTGAGGCAGTGGCATCTGAGCTGAGACTGGAATGGTGAGAAGGAGCCGGCCAAGGGAGGACTGTTCTATGCAGAGGCACCAGTAGGGGTAAAGGCCTTGTCTTAGTTTGTGCTGCTGTCACAAAAATATCATAGACCAGATGGCCTAACCAATAAATATTTATTTCTCACAGTTCTGGAGGCTGGTAAGTCCAAGATCAAGGCACAAGCAGATCTGGTGTCTGGTGAGAGCCTGCTTCCTGGCTCCTAGACAGCCGCCTTCTGTCCTCACAGAAGGAGGCTATATTCTCACCTGGCAGAGAGACAGAGAGGGGGTGGGAGGCCAGGGACAAAATAGGGAAGACTGAGGTAGAAGCAGGCTGGTACGAGGCGGGAGAATTTGGCTAGAGTCCCAGTGGCCAGCATTTTTTTCTTGACTAATTAGTAGTCTCCTGAACTGGGGACATTGTTCTCTAAATAGCATCTTTAGCCACAAGGGAACCTAGAGAAGACAGATAAAATGACCAGCACATGAGCAACGGGGAGGTGGTTGGCAAAGGGAGGTGTCAGGACCTTGTCCAGGGAGTTCAGCTAGCTTCTAGTCTGGATATAGAGTGATAGAGAGTCCTCAGCTCACTTGAGGATAGACTTGCCAAGGAGCCCAGATACTTAAGTTTTCTGGGCAGAAACAGGCCACTAGAGGGAGTTCCACCTTACTTCTTTTAGTGGGAAAAGATTCATAAAACTGAATCAGAGACCTCAGCATCATGTAGTCCTTATTTTTATTTATTTTATATTTTATTTTATTTCTTTTTTTAATCTTTAATTTTTATTCCTTTATTTTATTTTTTATATTTTATTTTGTTTTATTTTAGTTTCGAGACGGTGTCTTGTACTGTCGCCTGGGCTGGAATGCAATGGCGTGATCTTGGCTCACTGCAACTTCCACCTCTCAGGCTCAAGCGATTCTCCTGCCTCAGCCTCCTAAGTAGCTGGGATTACAGGCTCCCACCACCATGCCTGGCTAATTTTTATATTTTTAGTAGAGATGGGGTTTTACCATGTTGGACAGGCTGATCTTGAACTCCTGATCTCAGGTGATCCACCTGCCTTGGCCTCTCAAAATGCTGGTATTACAGGCATGAGCCACTGCGCCCAGCCTATTTGCAAGTGTTGATCAAGCACTTCTCTGTATCAGACACTGGGGTTTATAGCATTTAATCTTCAAAACAGTCCTATGAAGTGGGTACCTGCCTGTATAGCTATAAAATAGCAGGTAAAACCAAATGCCTTTTTTCTTAGTAACTTCATTTTACTCTGTCAACAAATATTTGAGTGCATGAAGACAAAGGAAAAGAAGAAAAACGAACCTCGTCTTCAGGTCTTGATCCTGATACTAGTTGTTCCTGAACACTGGTTTCTCTCTTTAGCCTTCAACCTGGACTACTACACAGAGGTTCTGGATCTCTCCTACCTTCTTGACCACCTGGCTTCTGACCCTTTCTTCTGTCACTACCGCCAGCTCAATGAGAAGCTAGTGCAGCTCATCGAAGACTATAGCCTGGTCTCCTTTATCCCTCTGAACATCCAGGTACTAGAGGCTAAGACAGGAATCTGACAGTGCCTGGGATTCACCAAGCCAAGGGCACAGGAAGCTTTGAGGGCTTAAACAGGGGTCTTTGCCCTAAGTCAGACTGTCACCAAGTAGCCTTAGTTTTAGGACCAGGGGCTGCTATAGGGGCAGAATTCCAGTAAAGAGAATGGACAAACTTTTACCCTGTCTGTTCTATGTTGCTAGATCCTCTCTTCACATGTTCCCTCCTCAGTGTGAAAATGGGTGAGTTTAGAAAGTCATCAGCAAGAAACTTGACCAGGACCAGGGACAAGTCTCTTAAGCCCATTCAACTGGGCAGCTGCCTGTTGACTTTGCAAAATGGTACCCAACCACTGTGCCTCTCACCTTCACCCATCCTGCAGCGATAACCTGGGAGATCCAGGTGCATGTTAGATTCCTTTCTGCAGTGGGTGGACTTGAGCTAACTTGTCTCTTCCCTTTCTAATGCCACACTTTTCTGATATGAGGAGGTGAACTCTATAATATTGATCATAAGCTATTTATGGCTTTCTGTGCTGGGCACTGTGCTAAGGACTACACATACATAATTTTGCTCTGTCCTTTTCACCATGTTATATATAAACTGTTCTTACCACTGTATGTGGATGAGGAAAAGATTTGTGTCTGTGTGTGACAGAGTCTCACTCTCGTCACCCAGGCTGGAGTGCAGTGGTGCCATCTTGGCTAACTGCAAACTTCACCTCCCAGGTTCAAGCGATTCTCCTGCCTTAGCCTCCCAAGTAGCTGGAATTACAGGCATTTGCCACAATGCCCAGCTAATTTTTGGAGTTTTCTTGAGACGGAGTCTTGCTCTGTCACCCAGGCTGGAGTGCAGTGGTGTGATCTCAGCTCACTGCAACCTCTGCCTCCTGAGTTCAAGTGATTCTCCTGCCTCAGCCTCCCAAGTAGCTGGGACTGCAGGCACATGCCACCACATCCAGCTAATTTTTGTGTTTTTAGTAGAGACGGGCTTTCACCATGTTGACCAGGCTGGTCTTGAAATCCTGACCTCAAGTGATCCACCCACCTTGGTCTCCCAAAGTGCTGGGATTACAGGCGTGAGCCACCACATGCAGCCCAGTTATAGATTTAAAGCATACATATTTATTGACTATCTACTTAAGAGAAGTATTGTGCCAGGCACAGGGAATACTGTAACATTCCCTGGCCCTGAGGGGTGCTTAGTCAGGTAGAGGAGGCAGGTGAGTTAATAGGCATTTATTACATGGTAGGGATACCCTGTGCCATAGGTGTAAACCCAGGGGACTGTGGGTGTGCATAGAGGGGCTTACGTGTTCTAATCTGAGTGAGTGGTGGTCAGGAAAAATGGGGTTTATCCAGCCTCTGGGAACATGTAGAACTGCTCCAGGCCAAGGAAGCTACATGTACAGAGACAAGATGGAGGAAGGTATATTTAGCAATTGCAAGCAGTTTTACACACTTCTGTTTCACTCACAGAACTGTTTCTCTCCTTCCTGCTCAGGACAAGGAGAGCATCCAGCGAGTCCTGCAGGCTGTGGATAAAGCCAATGGATACTGTTTTGGAGCCCAAGAGCAGCGAAGCCTGGAGGCCATGATGTCTGCTGCAATGGGAACTGACTTCCATTTCTCTTCGTATCCTTGGAACCTTCCTGGCCATAGCGGAGAGGGTGAGACATGGGGCTCAGGAATGGCCACAGGAGGTGGTTGACTCAACAATCCCTGTTGGTGACTGATTTCTTTTTTCCTTTTTTTTTTCTTTTTTTCTTTTTTGAGAGGGTGTTTCGCTCTTGTCCCCCAGGCCGGAGTGCAGTGGTACAATCTCAGCTCACTGCAACCTCTGCCTCCCAGATTCAAGCAATTCTCCTGCCTCAGCCTCTTGAGTAGCTGGGATTACAGGCATGCGCCACCATGCCCAGCTAATTTTTGTATTTTTAGTAGAGACGAGGTTTCACTATGTTGGCTAGGCTGGTCTCAAACTCCTGACCTCAGGTGACCCACCCGCCTCTGTCTCTTAAAGTGCTGGGATTACAGGTGTGAGCCACCACGCCTGCCTGTGGATGACTGATTTCATGTTGATCAGTTGGGCTTCCTGATGACTGTCTTTCATGTGCAAAGGTGGTCCCTTGCCTTCAGAGTTGGTTATACTGAGGACAAGGGAGGATATTGATCAATAGGAGCAATAAATACAGAGGCCCAGATATGAAAGGTGATTGGTCATTTGAGAGAGATGCAGGAGGTCCAGTTACTTGGTATGTTGCATATGAACAGGAAAGGACGTTGCAGGGGTGCAGGCAGGGCTGCCGAGGGAGGGTCCTGAGTCCCCTACTAAGGAATATGGACTTCAGTCCATTAGTGGGCATTGGGAGCCAGTATTCAGCGAGTATTGTTGAACATGATGTGACATGATCAGATGTACGTTTTAGAAAAGCTCTTGTAATTGTGGAAAATGCATTGAAGGGATGTGACTGGGGTCAGAAGAGTTTTACAGTTTTGCTAGGGAAGGGTTGAAAAATTTGTAGTGAGAATAGAGAGGTGTGAATTGGAAAAATACTAACGAGATAGACTATAAGAGTCAGTGACTAAATGGGATAGATGGAGCTGGAGCAGAATTTAACTTCCCAGGTCTCTGGCTTAGACAGTGGGCAGGTGGATGTACTAATCACTGAGGCAGGAAAAGAAAGTTTGTCACATGGATGAAAGGAACGGGAGCTGGCAGATGTGCTGTGTTCAGGGGTCCATGGGACATCCAGAGCTGTCCAAGAAGCAGCCAGACTTTGCAGCTGGGTTAGTGAGGCTGGAGCCAAGGTCATGGGTAGATGTCCATCAGGTCACAGAGGCTATGCATGAAGCAGGAAAGTCAAGGCCCTCTAGACTGATGCTCTCACAGATTCAGCATTTACACAGGATGCTGGAGACAGGAGGGACGCAGAGTCTTTGGTGTAGAAGAAAATAATTCCAGCCAACACTTACTGATCTATGTCAAGTCATATGTAGGAAACAAAGCTCACGGGGTAGGGGTTGGAGGAACAAGTTATAAACTATGACAGTAGAGTGTGCAGTCGAAGGCATTAAGGAGCTGCCTCACACCTGCAGTTAATGTGGGCCAACTGGACTGCATTTGATCAGCAAAAAAGGGGAGGAGCAATTTTATTTTATTTTCGAGACGAGTCTCGTTCTTGTCGCCCAGGTTGGAGTGCAGTGGTGCAATCTCAGCTCACTGCAACCTCTACCTCCCAGGTTAAAGCAATTCTCCTGCCTCAGACTCCTGAGTAGCTAGGATAATAGGCACCCACTATCACACCCGGCTGATTTTTTGTATTTTTAGTAGAGACGGGGTTTCCCCATGTTGTCCAGGCTGGTCTCCAACTCTTGATCTTAGGTGATCTGCCTGCCTCGTTCTCCCAAAGTCCTGGGATTACAGGCATGAGCCACCACGCCCAGCCTGCAATTTTTATATTTATTTTCTAGAGGCAGGGTCTTGCTTCTTTGCCCAGGCTGGAGTGCAGTGATGCAATCAAAGCTTAACACGACCTTTAACTCCTGGGCTCATTATCCTCCCACCTCAGCCTCCCAAAGTGCTGGGATTATAGACATGAGCCATCATGCCCAGATGGGAGGGGCAATTTCTATTTAGTGGCAAAATCTTGGCTCCCTGCAATCTCCACCTTCCGGGTTCAAGCGATTCTCCTGCCTCAGCCTCCCAAGTAGCTGGGACTACAGGCACATACCACGATGCCCAGCTAATTGTGTTTTTAGTAGAGACAGGGTTTCACCATGTTGGCCAAGATGGTCTTGATCTGACTTCGTGACCCTCCTGCCTTGACCTCCCAAAATGCTGGGATTACAGGCCTGAGCCACCATGCCCGGCCGTTTATTTTCGGGTAGAAATCATACTTTGGGTACCGTCTCACTCTCTTGCCCAGGCTGGAGTGCAGTGGCACAATCACAGCTCACTGCAGCCTCGACCTCCCTGGGCTCAAGTGATCCTCCCACTTCATCCTCCTAAATAGCTAGGACTACAGACGTTTTCCACCATGGCCAGCTAATTTTTGTAGAGATGGGGTTTCACCATGCAGCCTAGGCTGGAAGGAGCAATTTTTTTTTTTAATTTTAATTTTTTTTGAGATGGAGTTTCGCTCTTGTTACCCAGGGTGGAGTGCAATGGCCCTATCTTGGCTCACCGCAGCCTCTGCCTCCTGGGTTCAGGCAATTCTCCTGCCTCAGCCTCCTGAATAGCTGGGATTACAGGCACGCACCACCATGCCCAGCTCATTTTTTGTATTTTTAGTAGAGACAGGGTTTCACCATGTTGACCAGGATGGTCTCGATCTCTTGACCTCATGATCCACCCGCCTTGGCCTCCCAAAGTGCTGGGATTACAGGCTTGAGCCACCGCGCCCAGCCCTGGGAGGAGCAATTTAAATAGTGTTGTAATATTTTGTACACCATACAGATGGTTCCCAACTTACGATGGTTCAACTTTATGATGTTGTGAAAGCTATAGTCTTGGGTAGAAATCATTCTTTGGGTACGTATTAACCATTCTTTCACTTTTAGTACAGTTTTGAATAAATTATATGACATACTCAATACTTTATTATAAAATAGGCTTTGTCTTAGATGATTTTGCCCAACTACAGGCCAATGTAAGTGTTCCAAGAATGTTTAAGATAGGTGAGATTAAGCTATGATGTGTGGTAGGTTATGTGTATTAAATGCATTTTTGAATTAAGATATTTTTGGCCGGGCGCGGTGGCTCAAGCCTGTAATCCCAGCACTTTGGGAGGCCGAGGCGGGTGGATCACGAGGTCAAGAGATCGAGACCATCCTGGTCAACTTGGTGAAACCCCGTCTCGACTAAAAATACAAAAAAATTAGCTGGGCATGGTGGCGCGTGCCTGTAATCCCAGCTACTCCGGAGGCTGAGGCAGGAGAATTGCCTGAACCCAGGAGGCGGAGGTCGCAGTGAGCCGAGATCGCGCCATTGCACTCCAGCCTGGGTAACAAGAGCGAAACTCCGTCTCAAAAAAAAAAAAAAAAAAAGAATTAAGATATTTTTGATTTAGGATGAGTTTATCAAAATGTAAATCCATCGTAAGTCAAGGAGCGTCTGTACATTACTTTATATGTTTATGTAGTATTTATATATATATATACATGATTCTATTCACAAAACCGTGCGTGCGTCATTTAACAAATAACTTAAGGAATTTTCAAGCATATTTTTAACCATATACATTTGTGCTGATTTTAGATTCTGCTCAGCCCCCTAAAGGTTCAGCTGCTCTCTGTAAGAGAGTCGGGACTGATACAAAGAAGGGAGTGGTCAGCTCTGCTGAAGGGTAGGAGGGTAAGAAAAGCTTCATGGAGGCCGGGCTCATGCCTGTAAACCCAGCACTTTGGTAGGCTGCGGCGGGCGGATCACAAGGTCAAGAGATCGAGACCATCCTGGCCACATGGTGAAACCCCATCTCTACTAAAATACAAAAAAATTAGCTGGTTGTGGTGGCCTGCGCCTATAGTCCCTGTTACTTAGGAGGCTGAGGCAGGGGAATCGCTTGAACCCGGGCGCGGAGGATGCCGTGCACTGAGATTGTGCTGCTGCACTACAGCCTGGGCAACAGAGCAAGACTCTGTCTCAAAAAGAAGAAAAGAAAAGCTTCATGGAGGCGTGGCACATTAGTTGCATCATTTTAAAGTGAGGTTTAGCCAGTCTAATGAAGAAGGAAAGGGAATTCAGGTTAAAGAGAACTACACGCGGCCGGGCGCGGTGGCTCAAGCCTGTAATCCCAACACTTTGGGAGGCCGAGGCGGGTGGATCACGAGGTCAAGAGATCGAGACCATCCTGGTCAACTTGGTGAAACCCCGTCTCTACTAAAAATACAAAAAATTAGCTGGGCATGGTGGCGTGTGCCTGTAATCCCAGCTACTCAGGAGGCTGAGGCAGGAGAATTGCCTGAACCCAGGAGGCGGAGGTTGCGGTGAGCCGAGATCGCGCCATTGCACTCCAGCCTGGGTAACAAGAGCGAAACTCCGTCTCAAAAAAAAAAAAAAAAAGAGAACTACACGCAAAGGCATAGGGATTCAAAGTTGTCACAGGTTTCGAGGGTTGCAAATAAGATGGCATGGGCCAAGTGTAATGGCTTCATGCCTGTAATTCCAACACTTTGGGAGGCAAAGGTGGGTCCCAAAGGAGGATCACTCAAGGCCAAGCAACGGGGGCTCTGAGAGTGACAGGCCCAAGGTCCTTCTTCTGGGATGGGTTGGAAGAACTGTTCAAACCTTGGTGTTGCTGGTGTAGAATCTCAGTTTCTGACTTTGGAGTCATTTAAAACAGCCATGGTTTCCTAACATAGCCAACCTAGCCATGGCTAACCCCCGTCTCCTCATCAAACCCGAGACCCAGACATCGTCAATATTTGAACTCCCTGTGTCTGGATCCAGAGCATGTGCCATAACGCAGCATTGGGAGGTCAGCACTCTCTAGTCCTTTGATCCTCAGCAGTGTGTGCAAGAGGCAGATAGGGGAGCATTTGAGTCTGGATGTTTTTGGAGGCTTCTCATACCCAATCCTTGTAATTATGTGGAAGAGAGGGATGGACATGGTTGGAGGGTAGACATTAACGGAGGTCAGATCCTGCCCAGACCAGCTCCCCATCCTCTGCCTATGCTATCAGCCTTGACACACCCTTCCTCAGCACACTGGGCATCCAGGAGAAGTACCTAGCACCCTCGGACCAGTCAGTGGAGCAGGAAGCCATGCAGCTATAGCAACAAGGTGGACCCTGGAGAGCAGGATGCATAACCCAGCGCTGGGAAAGTGGAAGCTCCTGGATGCAGAAAGTACAGGTTGCAGACCCAAAAGCAAGTCCTCCCAGCCAGAGCCGGCGGGTTGGCAAGGGGACGCTCAGCTCTGCAAAGTACTTCTGGCCAAAAGCCAGACATGGGACCAAGCAGAACACGCACCTTGCTGTCAATGGTGTCCTTGAGCTCTGGGCCCTGCCACCAGAAAGTTGAGCACTGGTCCAACTCAGGCTGTGATGGAATGTGCTATAATACAAGAGTCTTTTCTACTTTTTGTGATTTCCAAACTTTTCTTGACTCCTCCAGGCCCAGGGGTTTGGGGAAGAATGAGGGAATGTTACCTTCCCTTGGAATAATCAGTATTTCCCCAAAGCATAGGATTCATCATGCTAGAGGATTCACATTCAGTCTCCAGTCATGTGTTTTTATTGATCTTCAGTTTTTGGTTTTGAGGTTTGTTTGTTTTTTAAAAGATGGGGTCTCACTGTAGGACCCAGGCCAGACTCAAACTCCTGGGCTCAAGTGATCCTCCCACCTCAGCTTCCTGAGTAGCTGGGACTATAGGTGCAAGCCACCGGGTCCCCAAATCTTCAGTTTTATCAGAGTCTCAAGTTTCAGCTTTCACAGGCAACACTTCCCAGCTAGACCTTTATTAATGTTTTATATTCATTGTATTTGTTTTAGGGTTTTATTCTATTTTTGGCAAGTGTTAACTAGTTTTCCATTTACAGTAGCGGCTAAACGTTTACAAAAATGAAATACAAGGCTGGGTGCATTGACTCACACCTGTAAGCCCAACACTTTGGGAGGCCAAGGCAGGCAGATTACTTGAGGCCAGGAGTTTGAGACCAGCCTGACCAACATGGTGAAACCCCATCTTTATCAAAAAATACAAAAATTGGCCGGGCACGGTGGCTCAAGCCTGTAATCCCAACACTTTGGGAGGCCGAGGCGGGTGGATCACGAGGTCAAGAGATCGAGACCATCCTGGTCAACATGGTGAAACCCCGTCTCTACTAAAGGTGCAAAAAATTAGCTGGGCATGGTGGCGCGTGCCTGTAATCCCAGCTCCTCAGGAGGCTGAGGCAGGAGAATTGCCTGAACCCAGGAGGCGGAGGTTGTGGTGAGCCGAGATCGCGCCATTGCACTCCAGCCTGGGTAACAAGAGTGAAACTCCGTCTCAAAAAAAAAAAAAAAAAAAAATACAAAAATTAGCTGGGTGCAGTACCTGCAGTACTAGCTATTCGGGAGGCTAAGACAGGAGAATCACTTGAACCCAGTAGGCGGATCACCTGAAGTCAGGAGATCAAGACCAGCCTGGCCAACATAGTGAAATCCCCACCTCTACCAAAAATGCAAAATTAGCTGGGTGTAGTGGTACACACCTAGAATCCCAGCTACTAGGGAGGCTGAGTCAGGAGAATTGCTTGAATCTTGTGAGGTAGAGGTTGCAATGAGCCAAATTGTGCCACTATACTTCAGCCTGGGCAACAGATCAAGACTCCGTCTCAAAAAAAATAAGTTCTGTAAAGAAAAATATTAATTATATAATTTGGCAGTTGCTATGGAAGTATGGCAAAAATTAAGAGGGCTTGAAGTTTTCCTTGCTCTTCTTGCAACTGGCTGGATTCTGTTTATATATTTTTCAACCAGTAGGTGGTGCCCCAGCCTTATTTTTTGCAGTTGTCACTTGGTGGCAGAAGGAGCAGGACTGATGGCCTGGGAAAGACTGTTACGCCAAGTCTTATTTGCATACATTTGAAGTTTTTTGTTTTTGAGACGGTCACACTGTCATCCAGGCCAGAGTGCAGTAGCACAGTCTTGGCTCACTGCAACCTCCGCCTCCAGGGTTCAAGTGATTCTCCTGCTTCAGCCTCCTGAGTAGCTGGGACTACAGGTGCGTGCTACCACACCCGTCTAATTTTTTGTACTTTTAGTAGAGATAGGGTTTCCCCATGTTAGCCAGGATGGTCTCGATCTCCTGACATGATCTGCCAGCCTTGGCTTTCCAAAGTGCTGGGATTACAGGTATAAGCCACCGCGCCCAGCCTGCATTTAGACTTTTTAATTTTTTTATTTTTGAGATGGAGTCTCACTCTGTCGCCCAGGCTGGAGTGCAACGGCGCAGTCTTAGCTCACCACAACCTCTGCCTCTCAGGTTCAAGCAATTCATCTGCCTCAGCCTCCCAAGTAGCTGGGATTATAGGTGCCCGCCACCACACCCAGCTAATTTTTGTATTTTTAGTAGACACAGGGTTTCACCATGTTGGCCAGGATGGTCTCCATCTCTTGACCTCATGATCTGCCCGCCTCAGCCTCCCAAGGTGCTGGGATTATAGGCATGAGCCACCATGTCCAGCCTGGACTTTTTAACACGTATGAAGTGGTTGGTTTTTTGGAGTGCTTCCGCATGCATAATCCTCATTAGAGATGGACAAGATGGGGAAAATTAATAAGCCATTACCCACGCTACAGTGAGAAAGCAGAAAGGTGAGGAGTTTGAACTTTGCTCAGCCTGGCTCTCTCATAACCCATTTGCTCACTAAATTGTGAGTGTCCCTCCTTTGGTATACTTATTGGTGAAAAGTCACAGCCCTTGTCCCACAGGTTTTGCAACCAATCAGGAGAAAGAAACTAGGCACCTATAAAGTACTACTCAATCATAGATAGTTCACCAGTGGTTTGGGCAGCTGGCAAATTCATTTTAGGGACATCTGTTCTGAAACAGCATTGAAATAGGACTGGCTGTGCTTTGCTTTCTGCTTTTGGCAGCCAGAGCCAAAGGCAGACGAATGAAGGACTATGAGGAGGCTACTGTGGCTGGAACAGTATGAAAGCAACCTCAACTCCCACGCCTGGCTGTATAGGGTCTAATAACTGGGTGCTGCTTCCCAGCCTCTTTCATCTGAGAAGTTCAAAGCACCTCACCCCTATTAACACCCCACAAAGTAGGTAAGAAGTACTAGTGGAGCATGCCAGGGAAACTGAGGCCAAGAGGCACAGCCTGGGGCTAGCTGTGAATCACCTGTGGGTCCTGGAGCCCAGGAATCCTGACGCCCAGGCTACTGGACAAATCCTTCATCAGGGCGTGAGGGTGGGTGCTGTGCTTTTAAAAACAGTACCAACGGCTATGGCCATGGGTTTTGATGCTTGCCCATCACGGAGGCCCCACCTATCACCAAAACAAGCCAGATGCTGAAGGCATCCTTTACAACTTTATGGCCTCATACACAAACACCTTCAGCATTTATTTTCTGCAGCAATGGAGTAGAGACGGGTGGAAATAATCTAAAGCCTTTATTTTCAGGCCATGGTTTGACACCAGGGGTATTTTCTTCCCTAATAAATGTAGCTTCTTTCTACCTTCCACTGGCAGCAAAATGATTTTCTGTTCTCTGCATATCCTGAGGGGATGGAGAAGAGACAGCACAATGCAGAAAGGAAGATGTTTGGGCTCCAGCTGAGACCTGTTCAGTGTGAAATGTCTAAGGTAGAAGAAAGACCATCCTCCAGTATGGCTGGCATGTGGCAGTCATCCTTAAGATTTTTTTTTTCTTTTTGAGACGGAGTTTCACTCTTGTTGCCCAGGCTGTGGCACATTCTCGGCTCACCACAACCTCCGCCTTCTGGGTTCAAGCAATTCTGTCTCGGCCTTCTAGATAGCTGGGATTACAGTCATGTGCCACCATGTCTGGCTAATATTTTGTATTTTTAGTAGAGGCGGGGTTTCACCATGTTGGCCAGGATGGTCTCAATCTCTTGACCTCATGATCCACCCACCTTGGCCTCCCAAAGTGCTGGGATTACAGGCATGAGCCACTGCACCCAGCCTATTTTTAAATTTCCTAGTAAATATAGGAAAGTAAAAAACTTAGAAAATGAAAGGAGAAGGCCAGGCACTGTCACTCACGCCTGTAATCTCAGGACTTTGGGTCCTGAGGTGGGCAGATCACCTGAGGTCAGGGGTTCAAGACAAGCTTGGCCAACATGGCAAAAACCCGTCTCTACTAAAAATACAAAAAAGTGAGCCGGACGCGGTGGCTCACGCCTGTAATCCCAGCACATTGGGAGGCCGAGGAGGGTGGATCACGAGGTCAAGAGATCGAGACCATCCTGGCCAACATGGTGAAACCCTGTCTCTACTAAAAATGCAAAAAAATAGCCGGACATGGTGGCACATGCCTGTAATCTCAGCTACTTGGGAGGCTGAGACAGGAGAATTGCTTGAACCCAGGAGGCAGAGGTTGCGGTGAGCCGAGAATGCGCCATTGCACTCCAGCCTGGGCAACAAGAGCGAAACTCCATCTCAAAAAAAAAAAAAAAATACAAAAAAGTTAGCAGAGCGTGATGGCACACACCTGTAATTCTGGCTACTCAGGAGGCTGAGGCAGGAGAATCACTTGAACCCGGGAAGTGGAGGTTTCAGTGAGCCAAGATTGTGCCATTGCACTCCAGCCTGGGCAACAAGAGTGAAAGTCTGACTCAAATTTAAAAAAAAAAAAAAAATGAGAAAATGAGTCACCCAGAATCCCATAACAGAAATTTTTATGCAGTCATCTGTTTAAAAGAAAAATAAAATTTATATTCAAATGTATATTTTGTGTATTTTTTTTCTCATTTCTATAGATACCTGGAGATATTTTGTATATTCTTTCAGTCTTATTTTTGTATGCCTAGGGGTGGATATTGCATTTATATAAGGGAGATTTTTTTTTTTTTTTTTTTTTTTTTTGAGACAGAGTTTTGCTCTTGTTACCCAGGCTGGAGTGCAATGGCGCGATCTCGGCTCACCGCAACCTCCGCCTAAGGGAGATATTTTATAATTGTGTCGTATCCTGCCCTTTTCAGTTTATACCATTCCATGTAATAAATAGAATTCCTATAATTTCAGCACATTGGGAGGCTGAAGTGGGAGGATTGCTCAAGCCAGGAGTTGGAGGCTATGGTAAGCTATGATTGTGCCACTGCACTCTAGCCTGGGCAACAGAGTGAGACCCTGTCTCAATGAAGTAAATAGCCTTTTTTTATTATTTTTTCCCTTTTTTTTTTTTTTTTTTTTTTTTAATTTTAACAGGCAGGGCAAGTAAATAACCTTTTTAATGTTACCATGGTAGTAGTCCATGGTTTGGCTATAACATTGTTTACCTATCCATACTCCCATGGTTAGCCTACTACTAGCCTACAAGTCATCACCAATTTGCACTTTTGTAAATAGTGTAACATCCTTTTGTAAATAGTGTAGCATCCTCGTGCCCAAATCATTGTCTGA